GGAACATAAAAACCACGTCAAGGTCAAATAAAAAAGTCAAGATAATGCTGTTAATAATTGATTGGCATGGGGTTTCGCAATTGGAGTTCTCGCTGAAAGACAGTAAATATAGAATATTATCTGAGCGTAATTTTTTCGAAAAAATGCAATCACACAAAAGACACCACCCTACAAGGCCTAAATTACTTACCAAACAAATGGCATTTTGGAGTAGATCACTTACAGTTTGGGGTTGTTTTCCAGTCACTGTGAGGGCAATAAGGTCAGCGTATGCGATCACATCGTGCCATGCCTCTCAGTATACGAAGCAGCGTATCAATTGCGAGATAACAAGGGAGTGATGAGAGAACTCCACCTTGTGGGGCGCCGCTTTTGGCGTACCTGGTTGTATTCAGCGTAGATTAGAGTGTTGGTTAGAGTGTTTTCACCTGTATCACTATGTCCATTTCTCGGCATTCACGACTATCTCGGGTAAGGCATTATTAAAAACTTACTTGATGACGAGGAAAATGCTTAGTGTATACGCTTTTAGCGCTAAACATAATATATTTATGTCAAGCAGTCTCTCTAAGATTTTTAATTGAAAAGTTGTAAGGCTGATTGGCCTTAAATCTCTAGGGTTAATATGACTGGTTATTTCTCCCTTTTTGGTATGAAAATTACTTAACCTTATTCCACACAGTAGGATGATGTGCTGTGGAGACTAGAAAGCTTAAGTAGTATCAATAAGGGGATCAGAATGTCTGCTGCTGCTTGTAAAAGGTGATTCACTTCGAGGATTCTTTAAGGTTGTTTTCCATTTCCAGGTTTTCCCTTTTCTTAAAGAAAAAACACAAAAGATTCAAATTTATTGAGGAATGTTTATTATCATTCGAAATGATATTCTGGCTTTTCTTTTTTTGAAGATTATATCTTTCAGATGATATCCGCAGTTACGTCTCATATGGTCCATCCATTGCACCCAATTTTCGATTATTCGTTCAAGCATTTTGAATGGCAACTGAAGGATCCATCGGTGATGTTTTACTCCGGGGTCTGAATCAAAGCAGGCTCGGCCACAGAGTCTCCAGACTTCACATATCCTCACAGAAAAGATTCTAACGTTGTTATATCACACGATCTTGGTGACCAATCGACCGGACCTAAATGTGAAATTATCTGCTCTCCGAAGTTTTTTGTCAATAAATAAATTAATCAATGCGATGTGTGGGATGTGGCGCTGTCATGTTACAAACAAATGTGGTTGAGATCACGAGCTTCAATATCAGGCATCAATTAGCCGGTTATCATTGACGGCTATGTTCTCACCGGCATTATTTTTGAAGAACTATTTACCGATGACTTCGCCGGCCCACAAACAACACTTAACCGTTGTTTGTTCTGGATGAAATGGTAGCTCTTGAATCTCTTCAGGCTGATCTTCATTTCTAAAGCGACAATTTTGCTTGTTTACATACCCACTCAGCCAGAGATGGACCTCAACGGCGAAAAAACTTCAGCTTGGAACTTTTCAAGAGCCCATAGTGCGAAGCGATCTCAATTGGATAGGTCGAGCGGCTTCAGTTCTTGCAAAAGCTGACGTAAAACGCGCCAAGGCGTTCCTTACGTCAGTCCGAATCGCTGCGAACAGCGCCGAATCGACTTTCCACGCTCTTCTTGTATACTCTCAGCTACGGCCGCTATATGTTTCTCCATTCCGTGCTGGACGTGGTCTATTCGGTCGAAAATAATAACATGACAGCTGGGCACGGCTCACCCGCGATCTGTCAAAAGAGGTTATTTAAAAAGAAATATCTCTACTTGGATCACCCGTAAGTACAGCGGGGAAAGATGCTATCGAAATCCGGAAATTTTCAGGGTTGGCAAGATCTTTTTGCTAATTTCGCACTGCATGGCATTCTTCAGAACATCCAGGGAAGTGGGTGATCATTAGAGTGTCTAGCATTTCTCTGCAAGCTATTATCCATTCATTTAACCTGTGGATATAGTTTGGGTTGGCTGAGTTCTAGGAAAGAACTTTCGTTTTCTTTTGGTTTCATTGAAAAGCTTTCTGCGAGCTTTTACGAAGCTCTAGTGCCTGCTATGGTTTTGATAATTTTTTTTTTTAAATTGGAAGTATGAATTTATGTACCTAGTGCTGTAGATAAATCGCAAAAATTGTGAAATATTTATACTGTAATTAAGAATAATTTTGAACAATTATTTTTGTAAGAATTTGTATTTGTGATTTTTACTACTAATATTGTTTTAAAAGCCTTTTGTTGTTGTGCCTGCATATAGTCATTAGTGTAGTGTATTTATTTCCATTTTCAATTATTCGTAAATGCGCTCTGTAATTTTTTTTTGTTTTTATTTTTTTTTTTTTTTTGTTTTAGGAAACGTTTGTGTTTTGTATTGAAAGTGGCGTCACCGTTGTGGAGCTCCTACTCCAAACGCTTGCGAACACTACATACACGTACTATTGTATTTCACTTATTATTATTTCCGGTTTCCTGTAATTATAATGTACAACAACAACAAAGCGAATTGTACAAAACAGAAAAAAAAATTTTGAAACAAAGGCGTAACTTAAAATTGAGAGGAAATTAATCATTGCACGTGCTGGCATAGCTACAGGGGCGTCCATAGCATGGCGGGGAGTTTCAAGATCTTGAATTGCTGATTTGTTGTTTCGCTGCTTTTGTTTTAAACACTTAATACACTGCAGCGCTCAACACACAACTCAATAAACATATATAATTATTTATTGCCGAATATCCATTTGCGGCAAAAACCGCTCCAATTGAAGACTGGCCTGCTTGCTGACTGTCTGACTGACTGACTGGCTGACTGTCTGACTGACTGACTGGCTGACTATGTATGTATATACGCCAGTACGTTCATCACTAATGGTTAGACAGCTGAATTTATAATTCCAAAATGAAAAAAAAAGAAAGAAAAAATCAAGATCTACAAATTTGTCTAACAACAGCCTTGTCAAGGTCTTTTGACTATAATTTGTATGTTTGTAAACATGTTTTTTTGTATTACCACCATATTTTGTATATTTTTTTTTATTTGCCGTTGATCGCTGACATTTTTGATTTAGCTGAGGTAATTTTTTTTTTTTCGAATTTTTCGGTATTCATTTGATTAATCAAAACTTGCACGACCAGCTGCAATAAATTCTTGCCTTCATTTGCTATCGATTCTCAAATTTTCATTTTGCGTTTAGCCATTTTTTGTACGCTTGTCGGGCAGCTGCAGCTGAGCCGTTATTGGAAGGTGATTTTCCAGTGATCAGTTATGTAAACATATGTATGTACGCATTTTTTCTTAAATATTATACTCTGCTTCTCACAGGTGTCGATAAATTTTTATATGTACATACATACATACATACATACAAGTACATGTGTTTGGATGTCCATACAGGCAAATTTAATTTGTTCCACTTTTTATGTTGTCAATTGAAATTAATTGCAAACGGTGGCTAAAAGTTAATCACTTGAGTGAGAGGCATTGAATATGTACGTATGTGCATATGAATGTTTGTATAATTGTTTGTGAATATTGCGTGTCTGACACACAAATATGCATTAGCTATGCATATACATATATACATGTACATATTCGCATGTACGCGCTTATACAAATTAAGTTAATTTATGAAAAAATTAATCGCGCAATTATATTCCTCTCATAATAAAATGCTAAAAGTTGACACCCACTTCAAATTGAAAAAAAACAAAAAAAAAATTTTCTCATTTTAATATTCTCCTTTTTTGTCAGCTTGCCTTTGAGAAACAAGTTTTTACTCAAAAAAAAAAAAAAATAATTTAAATCAAAAATTGAGTGTCGGGGGGTGTAAAATTAGATTGTTGACAATGAATAAAAATTAATATAATTTTTAATTCTGATTTAAAAAAAAGAAAAAAATTGCAAAACTTTTAAATAAGAAAATTACGTCAACATAGAGACACTTTCTATTAAATTAACAAATAAATAGTATTATTAGCCGCAATCGAAACACTAAAGCTACCGATACTTTATAAAGTGTGATTTCTTAAGAGCTACAAGAAAGTTTTTCAAAAAAAAAAAAAAAAAAAAAAAAAAAAATTCATAAAATTCAGAAAATTCAGAAAATTCAGAAAAATGCATTAAATCTTTATTTGAATCGATAATACGCTCCATATAATTCCATCTTTGAAGATTATTTCATGCCACTGTTGCTCGTGACTTTGCCTTAAATAGTCCAACCGCTTTGGCCAATTTTGGCATACTCTTACCAACATTTCGGCCGGTATCTCACGAGTAAATGCTTTAATGTTGTCCTCCAATGCGTCAATTGAAGCAGGTTTGTCTGTATGGACCTTAGATTTAACAAAACCCCATAAAAAATAGCCCAAAGGCGTTAAATCGCACGGTCTAGGCGGTCAATTGACCGGTGCCGAACGTGAAATAAAATGTTAACCGAACTCGTCTCTCAATGAGTTCATTCCTACGTGTGCTGTGTGGCATGTGGCATCGTCTTGTTGAAACCACATATCATGCAAGTCAAGCTCTTGCATTTTGGGCAAAAAAAAGTTTGAAATCATCTCACGGTCAGCATCATTTGTGATGAAGTACGGTCCAATGATGCCACCAGCCCATAAACCGCACCAAAATGTGACTTTTTCTAGATGCATTGGTAGCGCTTGCAATGCTTCTGGCTGATCTTCACTCCAAAATCGACTATTCTGCTTATTTACGCAGCCATTAAGCCGAAAACAAGCTTCCTCGTAGAACAAATTTTTTTTTTTTTAACTTTCTTAACAGACCACGCATTTTGATAATAAAATTGAATAATTTGGAAGCGCATCTTTTGTAAGACGATTCATGGTTCAATTATAGACCAAACTAAAAAAATCACCCTTAATTTAAGGTGGTAATAATTTTGATCCTCATTAAGATTTTCCTTTCTTTATGCATAATAAATAAATAATTAATTAAAAATCCATTTACAATTTATATTGTTTCAGTGAATTCGACAAACTCAACAAAGCCGATGTATATTACAACAACGAATTGGCCTTCACAACAGCGGAAAAATATTTGGGTATACCTGCCTTGTTGGATGCTGTAGATATGGCCACCTACGAAGTACCCGACAGATTGTCAATACTTACTTATCTATCACAATTCTATCAAGTATTTGCCGCACAAGGTAAGTTGAAAATGATAATAAACGACAAAATAAATTTATTCATATTAAAAATATTGGCCTGGTAAAAAGAATATTTATAAAGTCATTTAGCTCGAATTTTTGAAGGTAATATCATTATGGCACTCTCATAGAAACTCTTGTTCTAATTGACAAAAGATTGCTCCGATCTTTTCATAGACTTCTCTTGCAGCGAATACTTCACCAGCCAAATCATTTGTCATAGAGAGGTACAGATTGTAATCACTTGGTAATCGGACTAAAAGATAAAAGCATAAGAGCCTCTCAAATAAGCTCTCGAAATTTCTGGCGCATCACTATCGATGTGTGTGTTGTTGCTGGGCGCTTCTAGGCGGTTGCTTTCTTCAGACATTCCAAATTCTGACAGTGCAGGTCCAAATTAAGAGCTTAACTGAGGAGCATTGTTTATGATTGCTTGCCAATCCCAAAACCTTCCTGGCCGTCCATCCCTGCTTGTAGACCGTTTTTACCGGCTCAACCCCCTTCGATCACGACCATTTCCTTTTGTAGGGCTGTAAGTGATTCACTTTTCATCAACAGTCGCACACCGTTTCAGAAATTGGCCAATTTTGTGACTATTCAACAGAGATTCGCATAGGGAAATTCGTTCAGTGGACCTTCTTTGCCAGATAAAGTGAGGAACTATTTAGATTGTTCTGTCTATATTTCCCTTATTTTTCGAAGTATGCCGAAGATATTTGGTCTCGGCAATTGCATTGTAGTAATTTGGTACTTCCTAGTGAAAATGGCCTTTCCGCTTTAATCTGCTTGAGTTACATACGTCTGGCGTCCCGTAAGGCAATTAGCTTAGCCGCTCACACTTCAAATGTCTCAGAAAACCGTTTGCGACTACCCTTCATCAATTTTTGGGTCCTATGATACATTGGAATAGTCCTCAGTAATGTACTATTGGATCAACTTGCGTCTCGCTACCATTCTGTTACTAGCCGATGATTGCTCGTGTTTTAACGAACGCAATTACTAAACGAAGATGCATTGGAAATAAAAGTTGAGTCAGTTTTGTTTCCTTGATGAGCTCTGCTGGTGCTTTTGTATGTTTTGACCAAAGCTAATTGCATTCGAAACAATAAATTATGTCCGAATGGTATGTAAGCTACAGTAAGCACTCTGAGGAGTAATTTTTGAATTAATTTCAAAGATGGTTCTATGTACGTATGCCAAAGAGTACTCGGATATTCGGCAGAGAGGGAATATATATTCCATCCTTAGAACATAGCAGAGTTAATTGGATTATATTTTTCTATGGATTGTGCTTAGTTTTGGATTACTCCACTGACCGCGTGGAGTTTATATTTCACGAGTATATGGAGTAGTAGTGATGTTTGTCAGGTAGTGTCCAATAGCGTACTTGAGGATGGCCTTTGTAAACTTTGAAAATACCTTCATTCCGCTATGCCCCCCTTGAGCTCAGCAGGCTTTTGATTCACAAAAGGACAACAGGCTATGCACTATCTGATTTTAGACTATTTACGATTGCTTCGTTTGAGACATTATTAAGCAGATTAAAAAATTGTAAATCAAGCCACAAGTTGTTCATCATTTCCAGGCCCAACTGTACATGAATAATTATAATTTTACATAGTAAAATTAATAATAACCCTGCGCTAAAAATAGGTAGCTTAGATTAATTTTTTTAAGTGTTACGCCTAAAAAATTTTCACCAAAAAGCACTAATTTAAAAATTAAAAATAATTAAATTCGAATTTTTTTTTCATGAAAACACAGGCGTTTTCATGAAAACACAGGCGTTTTCAAAGTGCTAACTATTTTTACAACACATAATTTGCTATTATAACACAGCAGCAACTGCCAATTTGCCTATTATGTATTTTTAGTTTGAAGTTAAAAAGTGAGCAAATATTTAAAAAGTCATAAATATTTATTTTTATTTTATTTTAAAAGTTACTTTCGTTGGCACGCCTATGGCCTGCTTCAAAACAACGGAAAAAATTAAAATTGAAAAAAAAATCTCCCTCATTCATTTCCGCTTTTTAGTTAAAATACCGTTATACATTAATAATACCTTACAGTTACAACAAAGCCCACAACCACTACCACCACTACAGCATACTTTGTATTTGTATTTTTTTTGCATTTATTTTTAATTTTGAACTAAATTGAAATTGTTAGTTGGCAAGAGGGGTAACGCTTGAGTGCCTCGCGGAGATCGTTTAACCAACCGGCCAGCACTTTCCACCAAACATGCGCCCGATTTGTTGTACAACAGTTCGAGTTAAGGCAAAAAATGTGCTAAATAAATCAAAAAAAAAAAAAAAATGGAAAAAATTTTATTTGCAAAGAAAAAAATGCATTTTCTTTTGCTTTCTGCGAGTGCAAAATAGGCAGAGGAAGCGCGCGCTCTCTTTCTCTCTCCCCCTCTGGGTAAGGAAAATGTGTGTTTTTATTATGATTTTGTGCTAATCTATTTTTGTTGTAGCTGACGAGTGCCAGTTTTTTTAATCTGTAGTTATTTCTTTCTTTAAATTTTATTTTTTTCCTATATTTTTTTTTTTTGTAATTTTTTCTATGCATTGCCATGGTGCAAAATTGTTGGCGGTTGTGTTTCTACTGATGCAAGCAATTAACAATTTACAGTTGCAGTCAGTTACACTGCCTGCGCATGCGCTGAAGCGTTTGATTAATTTTTATATATTTCTATGAAGTTGTTTTTCCCCCTCGTACTGGCAGGCAAACAGACAAACAAACAAAAATACATATAAACAATGAAATAAACTTAATGCAACAACTCTCAGCTACAACAATACAAACTTTACGCTTGCAATTGAGTTTTTATTACTGAAAATAGTAGAAGTTTAACTTGGTGGCAAGCGTTTTTTTCAGGCAAATGGGGCCATCATTCATGGTTAGTGGGGTAGTGTGAGGCATTTTTAATTGAACAGTGAAGGGGATTCAATACTTAATTATGTATGTATAAACTTTTAATAGCCAGCAGCACGCATGGCGTGTAGATAATGCATACCTACTTGCCTTATATATTGTTCATATATGCTTGTGTATATATGTGTATATGTAGTTGTTTAATTCAGTGTTATGAATTCGATTCTTCATTTGCTTGAGTAATTTTTTAGCACTGAAACTTGCTCTCTAATTGTTTTTTTTTTTTTTTGGGTAGCCAGCTAATGTTGTTAAGTTATTTATTATAAAGGGTGATTTTATAGCTATTATCTTCTTGGCAACACTGGTTTAAACACACGCTGACGTACGTTTCGTGTTTTGTGTCGTTGTCAAACATCTTCAGTTTGGTCTATAATTTAACGATGAATCGTCTTGGAAACGAACAATGCCTAAAAATTTTTGAATTTTGTTATCAAACTGCGAACTCTGTTAAAAAAGTTAAAAAAAAAAAAAAAAATTGTGTTCAGCGACGAAGCTCATTTTCTTAATAGGCGCGTAAATAAGCCGAGTGGAGATCAGCCAGAAGCATTGCAAGAGCTACCAATGCATCCAGAAAAAGTCACATTTTGGTGCGGTTTATGGGCTGCTGGCATCAATGGACCTTACTTCTTCAAAGATGATGCGAATCGTAAGGTAATTGTGAATGATAAGCGCTTCCCTGAGATGATATACAACTTTTTTTTTGCCCAAAATGCAAGAACTTGACTGGCAAGACATGTGGTTTCAACAAGACGACGCCACATGCCACATAAAATGCGTAACAATAGGCTTATTAAGAGGCGAGTTCGGTAAATATTTTATTTCACGTTCGGCACCGGTCAATTGGCCGCCTAGATCGTACGACTTAACGCCTTTAAACTATCTTTTGTGAAGCTATGTTAAATCTTATGTCTATACGGACAAGCGCGCTTCAATCGACACATTGGAGGACAACATCAAAGCATTTCATCGTGAGGAACCGGCTGAAATGTTGGAAAGGGTATGCGGATAGACCATTTGAGGCGCAGTCACGGTCAACATTGGCATGAAATAATCTTCAAACATGGAATTATATGGAGCGTACTATCGATTCAAATAAAGATTTCATGCATTTTTCTGGATTTTATGTGTTAGTTTTTCTGGAAAACTTTGCTAAAGTTCTTAAAAAATCACCCTTTATATGAAAAAGCATTACACATATTAATCACCTAGACAAAGAGCTTTCCATGTTTCAATTTTCAAGCAAATGGAACCATAAATATAATCTTTTCCGATAGATCAGCCCATAAAAGAACTAAACATGAATTGACATAAGCAAAGAACCGATCTATACCCCATATCTTTCCAATAAGAGTTATATGATTTCTTAAAAAAAACACTAATTTTTAAGGAAATTTAGATGTTTTTTTATTTAATGTGAAGTACAATCGATACAATTAAGTTCTGCATATGACATCATTCAAATGACCTCCATGACCTCCTATGCAATGACGAATTCGATCAACCCAATTTTTGTGTACTTTTTCCACATTCAATATTGACTTTTAAAGCTTTCAAGAGAGTCTGGTCTATTGTTAAGGACTAATGACTTCACATAATCCCCCACGAAGTAGTCTAAATGGTGTAAAACCACAGCTTCTTGGAGGCCATGCAATGTCACAATTTCTTGAAATAATCGAATATCCAAACCTTTTCAGCCATAATTCGGTTGTTGAACGTGCTATGTGACACATAGCGGCGTTTTGTTGGAAACAGTTGAGATCAACTTCAAGTTGCTGTTGTTATTATTTGTCCACGTTGTTCTTGCGTATATCCTATTGTCATGATGAAATTGTAAATTTTACTGAGTACAATGAAAAAAAGAGAGATCATGACATATTAAAAATGGCCAAAACGACACTTAGAAATCATATCAGCCCTATTGGAAAACCCTTTTTTAAGCGAAACCGTACCATCGAATCAATTCCACGCCCACTTCCCGAAGGAAAAAGTGTCCCAACATTAGTTCAGACAGGGTGCCTACGTCATACGCAAATACACACTCTAAGTTTCAACTCTCTAAGAAC